CACTTCTTGCTATGTAGAGCCACTCTCTACTCTGATACAAAGTGGTTCACGTCACTTGGCAGTGGCTGTTTGTATTTTGCTCTCGTTTTTGGAAAATATTTTTTGGGGCATGTCCCCACAAGCACACACATGCGGATTGCAGCACCTCAAAAGCAGCATGGTTCACATTGCAGTGATGCCGCCAGGCTCTGAGCCATAGTCTCGGCACCACTGCCTCAGGTACCTGCTGCCCCAGGAGGCCCCCAGGACCCAGGTAAGACTGCTGAAGCCAGCACAGATGCTGGCCCCAGTCAACCATACCCCACCCGGGTCCCTTTGCACACTGGAGCACTTGTCCCTGGGCATGCCCCTGTACAAATAGCAGTGGCACAAATATGTGCTGCTGCTATGTGTCCTGCAGGAAATGCATGCCCCTGCACATACGCATTCATGGGGACATGCCCCCTTCTGTCAACAGCAAAGTGTGTGTGTTGCTGCTGTTGGGGTTTGTTGGAGGGGGTTAAGTATCTTTTATTGAACCACCTGAACATTTGGGAGAGAGATTATATAAACTTTGTCCTTTCCCAAAAGCTTATCTAACATCTCTTCCAACTTCTCAATTGATCCAATAAGTGGTATTACCAAAAAAAATCCCCCCAAAAGCAAACACCTCTTTGCTTCTTGTGTGTTTCCTGGACCATTAGGGCTACAACAACACTCCAACCCCTAGTGTCAACACAGGATCAGGGCCTGATGCAAAAGATTTTAAAATCAATTTCTATCCTACTTTGATGGCCTCATGATTAGAAAATGACCCATTGTAGTGTGCATCATAACTTAGTTTAAAATAGCAAGCCAAAAAAATATATAGCTCTTCTAATTTTTCAAAGCATTACAGAAAATGTTTCAAAATGTCTTGCGTGCTGTGCTGGTCTTAATTCTGTCAACAATCAATATTTCTTGCCTGGATGCATACTATAAACGTAGACAGATGTTACTTTGTAGCATCAAGCTAAGAAATATTTTTTTATTAAAACTTTAAATGCAATCAAGATTTACACTCCATAAATGATTAGTGGTCTGATGTCCATTTGGGGAAATGCTTAAGGTACAAGTAACTCTTGATTCAATTCTGGTCGTGGCTTAGATCAGAGCTCAGCCCATTTTTGCTGCCACAGGTGCCTGTTTCTGACCCTGCCTTTACCCTTTATGCTGATCTCCTTCCCCAGTGGCAGTGGAGGGGGCAAATTCTGCAGTAAGGGTAAGCACAGGCAAGAGAAAGCTGCAGGAGGGGCTGCAGAGAAGATGGGTGGCATGGCATAGCTGTGTACCTCTAATTCTCCAGCCAGGTCAGAGTTTCACAGGCTGGATCAAACTTCTTTGGAGGCCGGATTTTGGCCTATGGGCCATAGGTTGCCAAACCCTGGCTTAGACTCTTCTCCACATTCTGGTATAGAATAAATTAATAGATTGCCATATATTTTTTGGGGGGAGTGGGAGAATGCTTTCTGGAAAGACCTTAAAAATGGATGTAACCTGCTCTGCCTGGGCATCCAAGGCCCTATAGCACTTTTTTTATCAAGGTTTAAAGTATGATCCCAGCATTATTGTTCAGAACCTCCCCTTTTCCAGCAACTGGGCTATGTGATGATTAGCTTGCCACCCTTCAACTCAGAAGCTGCTACTTACTAGTGAAGCTGCATATGTAAAATGGTAGGGAATGTTGGGATAAAAATAGGATCAGGTGCATCTGAAATGTTAGTCTATGAAACATTGTAGCTCTAAAGCTATATGGTTGCAGTTTTGTCTCTAACTAGGGCTTTTAAAATAACTTTTCCTCTGGTTTGCTTTGCAAAAACATCTAGGGGCAAATACATACTTGTGTAAATATAGACATTTTGACCTTTTCTGGGTCGTACAGGTTTTTTATGACCTGGGAATTAACAGATAGCTCTAAGATAAGGAAAGAGGAAGTCTATGGCTTGTTGAAAAAGTGAAGTCTGCAGCATTTGATGGCATCATTCCTGTCATGTCAGATTGTAGAATTTCTGATGGTGCTGTGGCTTCTTCTGCGCTTAGCTTTATTTTGTATGTTCTCTGTGTACCACTGGGACTATCTTGGCATTTCAGTTTGTAAGTCAGACTGTTATGTAATGAATCAAAATGCATGTATATGATAAAAGCTCTGCTGGTGGCCTGATGAGTCTTACACAACTTCTCTTATTGTAGTATAAAGCACAGGTTTTCAACCTTTTTAGGTCAGGGTACCCCCCCCCAGCTAGTCAACAAGCGGGGCGGGGGGCCAGTGGCCGGTCAAGCGGCAGCAAAATCAGAAGTGCCACCAGCTTCTCTGTGCCATTGCCGCATGCCCCCTGGGGTACACAAACCCTTGGTTGAAAACCCCTGAATATAAAGAATGCCTCTCAAATTCTAAGGGGCAGAGAAGCACACTTATGCATACAAGTAAAAAGGCCCCAAATACTGTGGTGGTGGTAACTCACTCTCTTTTAGCAATGGTTATCCAAATATGCTGCAGCATGTCTTCTACAAAATGATAATATTTGGCACTTACACAGGGTTTTTTACTACTTTTGAGTGCTGTGCAAGCAGAAATTACTTTTCATAGAAATCCAGGGAGGGACTTGCCCACATAGCTAGTCCAGGGGAGCCTGACTCTGTACACTTGTTTCCTTTTTTTGGACCAGCTATGTCAGCTAGTGCAGCAGTAAGAGGACAGAGGGGAGGGGTAGACAGACCAATGGCACCTGCAGCCTTCTTGCCCTTTCCCAGAGCCTTGCTTACATATGAAAGTCCATATAATAAAGCTGCTCAAGCAGCTGAATACAGAACCATGGAAGTGAGCCATAAGATTTCAACAAACAGCTCAAGTTGTTGGACTGCTTTGAGAACTGGGGAACTGCAGAGTCACTGTAGCTACTGCATTACGCTGGAGTCCTGAGCTTTGGCAGACCTCACTGACTTCAGCTATGGTTTCCCTTCCCTCCCAGGGTATTTTTCATTGCCTGTGAATTCTGGGACACCATTGAACCTGAAAATACTAACTTACCCAGGGAATCGAGCTGTCATTCCATCATGGATACTTTCTGCTATCTGATGACCAAGATGGCATCCAGACATGTCCATGACTTGTTCTCAAACAGGGGCAGGGGGATGAAGACAGTTGTGTTGAAATGTTTGCAGTGTTTCTTATATGCCAGCTTTATTTCGGTCTCTGTCTCTTTGACTTGTGGATTAATTTGGTGGTGATTTTTGTAGGGCTGTAATATCCCTCACTTGAGAGTCACAGTTCATACAGCCAGAGACAGATTTCACATTAGAAAGCTGCCTTTGGCTGGTGCTGGGCCAAGTCATCTCTGATGGTTTCCTTTGGACTCCAGTGGGAGTTGCTGTGCTACGTCTGAGACCTCTATCTGGCTGCATATCAACAAAATTCACAGTGGCATCCTTTCACTCTTATCCTGTGCTTGCAGATACATTCAGAGTCATTTGTCAGCTTGCAAAAGCAACTGAGATCAAAACCAGTGGTGGGTTGGGCTTTCAGGAGTGTTCAGCACTGGCTCAAACCTGCTTCAGGGGAAGTCCGAAAACATGAACGCTGTCCTCAGTGGGTTAAAACTCCCAGCTCAGTGCTCTCAAAAGTCACATTCTCTGAAGTCTGTATAAAACTTAAGTCACCTTTTGTCTTTCCTCACCTAGTATCAGTTCCCCCCCTTGATTTTTCCCAGAAGACCTGCATTGCAAGATTCTAAATGTCCTTCTTGTGACTTGATGGCATCACATCTTTTTTGGGAACAGGGGGAAAACTTTAGGCCAGTACTCTCTGTCCAGTGTCCATGAGATTCTCCACTCTTATTTAGCAGAATTGGGCAGAGGCCCTGGGTCCCCCCAGCTCAGTCCCATTGATAGGGTAGGGGGTAGTTATGCTCTAGACCCTGAGATGGCTCCGTGCTGGATCCTGACACTTAGCGAAGCATGGGGATCTGTCATGGGTCAGCCCTGACATGCCACACATTCAGTTTAAGGTACAAAGCAAACAAAATGCAAACGCCCCTAAATGCAGTGTCAGAGCCCCAACTCTCCAAAAAGTGTTCTGGATTAACAGTGCTCTAGAAGCTGCCACTTACACTCCTAGAATCATTAGGCATATCTAATTTTTGGACATTGCAGCACCCAAGTGGAGTTACTTGCAGGGTAATTGGATCAAGACCAAAATAACAGTTCAGAGAATGGACATTTAAGCGATTCAGATTGTGACTTCACTCAAGTCCAATATGGCACTACAGTTGTTGGAGTTTTATCTAAGCTGAATTCGGACAATAATATGGAATTCAAGGACTTGGTATAGCCACATCAAGGAAGAATGGATTTCTCCCCCCTGATTTTTATTTAAAACACATTTAGTTTATAAAGGCCACGTTCATCTTTGTCACTCCAGTTTTATATCTCTGCAACTCAGTTTGATTTCAGTGGGGTAAAACTAGAATAATGTAGCAATCAGATTTTCATCTCAGTACACACATGGTTACTAATTTGGCATTTTCAAATGCAAAATTTAAAAAATCCTTCTTCATGAGCAGCATTTCTGTTTACTTTTACTGACAGGTTACTTAATTCTGGGACTGCAGGAAGTGAAAGGCTCTGGTTACTCTCGGTGAATTTACTTTATTGTTGCTATAGAAATAGTCTACAAACCGCTGCAGAACTGCAGTGACTCCCAACAGTTCAGCAGCACATCTATTCTCAGTTCATGAATTCTGGCAAATTACTTGAGATTTCTTGATATTTTTTTTTTTAATGTAGTTTTAAAATGCCCTTTTATAAATTGCTGTACAACAACAGAACAGAATACTTATATATACCTAGTTTATGTGACAGATGCATTGTTTCATTTTTATTGCCGTTTCTAAAGAGAAAATATTTTGGATTTTGTTAAGAATTAACTTTCAAATAAAGAACAGAACTACATGATGATAATTTTTTTAAATGTGCTTTATTTTTAGCTCCCAAGAAGATGAACGGCCTATGTCACCCTTCTATTTAAGGTATTCATTCAGATGTCTCTCTCTATTTTGGTTCTCTATGTGGGATTGACTTGCTGTTATACCAAAATGTTGGGCACCATGTCAAAAATGTTAGACCAGGCTGTTCTTAACTTCAAGATTATTGTTTACTGTCATGATCACAGGTCATTGACTAGCATGGGATAGTCTACTGAGATTTAAAATATTTAACATACGTGTTTGTGGGTGGATGCGGGGTTCACTTTTAATGCTAGGTTTGCAAACTTTAGACTAGACGATGAACTTTTTCATATTTTGATCAGTTCATTCCATGGTTTATATAAGTAGTGTTCAACCTTCAGGCCAGATCTGGTCTACAGAGCCATGTCATCTAGCTCGAGGGATTCCTCACAAGTTGGTTGTTGGGAGACTGGTAGCAATGTTAAATGTTCACTTGCCACCTAATCCTGTCAAAGATGACAGGAACCAGGGACAGTAGGACCCAAGGGAAGCCCCAGTGGACTCCTGCAACAGCGGGACCCAGCCGGCCCCACCCCCCCAGCCAGAAACCCCAGCAGGGGCTTCTGAGCTGGGACCATGTGGCTTCTCGGCTGCACCGGCACAGGAAACTCAGGTAAGGGGAGAGGGCGAAGGGGGAAGGGCAGGGGAGAACCGCGGGCAGGGCACAAACTGGTGCTGAGCACAGGGAAAAACAGCACCTCCCCCACCCTGTGGCCTGCGCTCCCTGCTGCAGCCACTCGCAGACCGCACAGGGCTGTCCTGAGCAGGCACAGACAGCCCCACACGGGCTGTGAGGTGCTGCAGTGCGGGGTGCCGGCCACAGAGTGGTGCGGGGTCGCTTTTCCCCACGCTCAGCACCAGCTTGTAACCTGCCCCTGCTGCCAGCCTGGGCCCCGCACCAGCTCCAGGCTCACCCAATCAGAATGGTGGCGGCAGCTGCGGCCCCCCTGGCTTGCCATGCTGGGCAGTGTTTGCTGCTGCTGTCTGCCTGGAGCTTGCGCCACAGTAGGCTGCATTGCGGTTGCCACCACTGCCGCCTGTCCAGTGCATGAGCTCCGGGTGGGCAGCAGCAACCAACCCT